GCCACGCACAGCAGATCACAAAAAAAGGGAAAAAAAAAAAGGCTAGGAAAAAAGCTCCATCTGGTTCAGAAGACAGTGGCCAGTCCCATAAATAACACAAGCTGTCAGGAAAGCATCATTCCTGAAGTACTCTCTGTATTGGCTTTCTGTCCAACTACTGCACCACTACACTACAGAGCTTCAGAGATTTGCATAGGCTTGGACCAAACCTATCTCTTCATCTCACCACGAGTGCCTCATTCATGAGTTATTTCAAATTAGCAAGGTTGAGAATGAAATGTACAGAAGTAAAAAGCATGGACATATACAATTGTAGAATCCAATTGCACATGCACACATACACAGACACACACACAGACACAAAAAATTAAAACATAAAGAAGTCTAAGTTTTCATTTCAGCTGAGCTTTTCTGAAACAGTAAAACAAAACCCAACTGCAACATTATATTTGGAAAATATAATTGCAAACTCCATACCAAAGTGTGAGGTAAAGATGAACAATAAGGTTTACATTAAAATTGTTTGGTTTTGAATCATTGTCTTGGGAGCTAATAACATTTTTACTCCAGTAGAATCTATTAATAGGTCTGAAGGTGAGAGTGCTGGGTGATGAACAATCAAAAAGTATATAAATAAATAAATGTTCTGGAAGTTTATGACATTGGTGCACAATAGAAATATGCCCATCTTGGGGTTTTTTAAGTTGGAAGATGGGTTTCATAAAAAATGGAAATGCTAACAGAGAACATGAGCATTACTGAGATGGTGTTGAGCTCTACACAACAGTAGAAGAATCTACTGCACTGCCTCTGTAGTTTTCTATCAGTCACTTCAAGAAAGCATCTGTTATCTCAATTTTCCTTCAGGTGCTACTCAGTGTCTCTTCTCTGGTGTTAGATTTAGGGGTCAGGGTATGTGGGCTACTAGGAGAGCAGTGAAAATTTCTTTCAACAACCTTACCTATTTTGAAGATTTATCTCATGTAAGGGGTAGCAAGCTTCCTTGATTCAATTCTGTGCTAAATCTCTAGCACATGATGGAGACACTCATTTCCCAGAATGTTTCATCAGTTTTTCTTAAAAATCCTACCCTCTGCTGCAGAGGGAGACAAAAGATTATCCATTTTCCTAAAGTATTCCCAGGGGAAAAGAACAAAAGACAAATAGTTTCTTTAAGTATATTTTCTTAGTTAAATATATACTATATAGCTGAACTGTATTTCTGGGGAATCAAATGGTTACTCCCATACCCAAAGTATTAAAGAACGGGAAAGTAGTGGCAAGAACAGAGTGAAGAGACTCTGTGGAAATTTCACTCACTCAAGGATAAAATGGAGCTTGGTACTCCTGCCTATTAATCTATTGAAGATAAAGAGCAAACTGCTGCATTTACTTCTTCTTTCTGGTTTACATTCAGAAGAGATCACACAGAAAATTCACTTTGAAACATCTCCTTAAAGGTGCATGTGCAATCCCTAGGGAGAAATTCACAGCCCGGAGAGAGCCTTGTGCTTGGGTTTGATAGTGACAGATAGCAATGGAATACAGTACTCAGTGCTCCCAACTAAGAGACCATTATGTGTGCAACTCACAGTGAGACCATAGCAGAATAAAGCTTCCCCCAGCCCCACCCAGAAGTGTGGCTGCCTTTGTAATTTTAATTGGTCTGTGTTTGTGGAGTGGGGCCTCTATTTACTTATGGCTTGGGGCTTGTGTTTACCAAGCCTGGTGGAGGCCAAGTGTCATATCACTGAAGCTTAGTTCCTGCAAGCTCTCCTGCTATATCTTGAGGCACTTTTCTTTTCAGTATCTGTGCCTGTCTAATTCACGAGCTTCTGTGAAACAAGCACAGGAGGGTACAAGGCCTACAGGGAGGAATTACACCTAATTACTCAAATAATTGCTAGGCTGTTGCCTTCTTAGTCACTGAAAATAATTTCCAGGTCCCTGGCTTTTATAGATAGTCTTCTAGAGGCAGGAGGACACAGCCCCCTTTTTAACTCAGCCCATTCACTCACAAAATCAGAACACTCGAGCTTGCAAAATTAATAAGCACCACTTCCATTACATATATTTTAGGTTGTTGTTGCCGTGGCGATAAAGTCAGGGACATTGAATCTCCTCTGTTGAGCCATTGTTATCATCCCTGGCCATCTGCTGCAGAGGAGTGATATTCCATCTCATTTGCATGATGACTGATATATGGGAGGTTTGGAAGGACATATGCCACAGCAATCATGTGATGAAAATTAAAGTGAAAGTTTTGGGCCCAGAGCCGAAAAAAATCTGTGTATGCGCATGAGGCTGTTGATGTGCAAATGTGAATCATATTGAGAAGGTTTGAATAGGGAGGTGTGACGTAAAGAGGGGACACAAACGCAGGTGCTTATCTCTAGGCAGTCAAAGGCGCTGGATGTCATATCATGGGAACTACCTTTCAAAGACACAGCTTTAGTGCACAGTTCAGCACACAAGGGAGGAGAAACATATAAGTTTTGGAAACAAAAATAAAGTAAGTTTAACAACTTTTTCACACTATGAACCCATTGATGTTTAAGCAACTTGTACTGTTAGTAACTTTCTGTCTTTTTTTTTGTTTGTTTGTGCTCTAAGCTTGCAAAAGACAAAAAATCATGTCCATTTATCAATGTTAAAATCTTGAGAGATTTGTGTTAAGAAGTTTGAGAGGTTTTGATCCGTGTTTAAAATGCTCTCTGCAAACTTTTCTTTTTTTTTTTTTTTTAATGACATTAATACTGTGTCTTCCACAACGTATGCTTGGTCATTATCTTAAATACTATTTTGGGCCTCAATTAAAAAATAGCTACTTGTAACTGCTTTGAGACAGCTTTCTGAATAAAATGTCATGGTGTAATTGCATTTATACTGCCTCAGTAAAGCCTTTGTTCATATACATTTTACAATGTGCAAATTTGCAGCTCTAGCTCTTTGATTTGAGGAAATGATCACAAGGACTCCTTTTCTCTCATTTTGAAAAGTTATTGAACTTAAATACTGGCTTTTTAAAAAAGAGAGATAAAAAATGAGGTGGGAGAGGGAGAGTGGACCAGTGTATTTGTAGGAACTGTTCGGTAGATGCAGGTTCATTTGCAGTTCTGTGTTACAGACCAGAAAGCTTTCTCAGGATGTTTTAGAACACTTTAAAATCATGTGCAATGTTTTTGAAATGGAAATTATTGATCAATATGCTTATTAACTTTACTCAAAGGGGAAAAGGATCTTTCAAAGCATGGCATTTCTGTCCTTTAAATTATTTGGGATTCGGAGAGTGAATTGAGAGCTTCTGATTAAAAAAGCAAATACTGTACTTCAGAATGAATGTATGTGTCAGGAAAATCTTTAGAAAGTTAAATGACAGTAATATCAGGCAAGGTTGAAGAATGAAATGGACCTTCTGGGACAACATTTTGCAGGAGGATAATTTTTATGAAATAGCATTTGATGCTAGAGAAAGTCTGCTTAACACTCTGATCAGCAACAGCCCTCTCTCCCTCTGACTTTCTTTTGTCTTTAACAAAGCACTTAGTTCAGATGTTTGTCTTCCTTCATATGTAAATAGCAAGACAATCTTGTGCAAGGTGCTGTGAATTTTTCATTTAAGAGATCATAAAAGCACAAATCCCAGATTTTACTCTTAATCTGTAAAATTGTATGGGGTGAACTTTGTTAGTTAAGGATCTTTGTGGGATTCAAAATGACCATTAACTCTTTTGTCAATTAAATTAGTTAAGTTAATTGCGTAGATGTGTCTTCTTTGGTTTGGCTGTTCAGTGGTTTTGTAATTCTTAAGGAAAATTACAGCATTTCTGATTAAAGCTTTCACTGAGACAATAATATATTTCTTCTCTAAGGTGGCTAACTAATAATACAGATTTGAAATCAGGCATTTCTAAAAATAGGTTTTGCCTCTTCCCAGTTTGGAGTATTTTATTGTTACTTGTAAATATCATCTTTGTGTTATAGTACTTTCATGCCTGCAGGCTAAGATTACCAGTCTTCCTTTTTTTCCTCCTCCTTCTAAATATTCAATTACTCAATGGTAATTATTATTATGTGGCCTTCTTGGCTTACTGCATTATTAGATTAATATAGATTTCTTGTGCCAAATTAGCGGAAATCACTCTTATATACAACAACTGATCACTTTTTTTTTTTTTTTTTGTAAGTTTTATTTACTTTGTTGGATAACAGGAAGACTTTGACACAATGATGTTCTATTCTTAAGACCTTTAATATAATATGCCTTTGAAAGCTAAGCGGGAGAGGGTGCCTTTTTGTTTTGCTTTTTCTCTTGTAGGTTTCTAATAGAAACTTTGGTTAAATTATAACTTAATTTTTTCAGAGATCTATGAATAGGGATCTTGTGAACGAAATTGCAGTTCAAGCCCCCTTCTCTCTGATTCTCGTGACAGAGGTGGGTAGCAGAGGTGAGAAAACTGAAAATGAAAGAAGAGGAGCTGTCCAGGGTACTGCAGCTGACTAGTATTTCCTGTTACTGCGCCGAAAAACATCTTTACTGAAGTGTTCACAAAACTGTCACCATTTGTTACTTTTTATTTTCCCCCTCAGAAATAGAAAAAAAAACCCACTCACCTTACAACGAAGTCAGCTATAAAAACGATGTGCATGAAAAACTTAACTCAGGAGCATGTCATCTTTTTGTGAATAGCAAATACACACTCAGATCACATTAACTTTCAAATATTGCTTAGTAAGATTAAATTTTTATGTAAAGGTTTTTGTCAAAGTTACAGACAATAAACTTTACCAGTCTAAATTAATCTATGAGTACAACACAAATGGTTTCTATGGTAGTACTGTAATGTAAACAAAACAAAGGAAAAAGAAAAAAACACGCAGATCCAAATCTTGCATTACTTGATTGCTTTTGAAATGAATTCTTGTCCTTATGTGACCTGAAATGTGTGGTTATAAAGCTATAGAAATCCAAACGATCATATTTGTTTGATATGAAATGAAAAAAAAAGTAGTTAAATTGAAAGTTTAACATCATGAAATTCAAAATCCCAAGCGGTATATAAACATTAAAAGAAACTTTGGACTGCTAATCCTAGGAAATGAGTTTTATGGATTGAATTCAACAAGGCTTCAGAAATGGTTCCATCTGCTGCCTAGCAGCTGGTGAAAGGATAAATTTAATTCATTAATTCATTTGGAAAAAAGGATCCAAATAGTAAAGAGTTCATTGCTCATAATGTACATAGGTGAAAATCAAAACTGAAATTAGGTCCAGTTGATCATCTTTGATAGTGAGAAACATTTTCTTTGTAATTGTTATAATTCTCTTGATCAGTCAGTTGACAGTAAATTGACTGTTAACAGTTAACAAGTATTTTTATATCTAAAAAGTTGAGACTAGTTCTCAACTCTCTCCTCTTCCAGAAGGATCATCCCTACTTTGGGAGTTACAGATTGTGTAGGTTTTAAAAGTTAGGTTGTTTCAGTGAAACAATATTGGTGTCTCTATGAATATTTGCAGCTTGTCTCTTATTAAGTCAATTTAAGGATCCAAAATAAGGAACCACTGAAATTAGAAAATAGACTTACACATAGTTAAATTACTATAACAATCCAAACCCAGAACATCAAATGCAGAGTTTATTACATTACTTTCCTATTAGAGTCACAAGTTTTCTATTAGAGCCACAAGCTTAATCTTTTCTTTCTTGTCTTCACCCATTTGAGTTTCATGTTAAGTGCTACAAAATTAGGGTATGAGTGAAAAATATAAGTTAACAACTGAGAAAGCATGATATTTAAAAATCCAGGGTTTTAAAGGCAAAATTAATTGGATGAATGCTTAAATAATAAATTGACATTCAAGTTCTAGCTATAAAGTTTTCCAAATTACCACAATCTCCAGAAAAAGATTTTTTTTTTAAGTGGTTGCCTCTAATTTAATCTAAATCTCAAGCAGTGAGTGCCAAGTTAGCTGAGGCTTTTAAACAGTAAGATGGTCAAGTGGAAAAATCCCTTGTTCATCTTATACCAGGCACACAGGTAAACCTGTGCCTCATTACTTGCTGAGGAATACAGAGAACTGATGAACCTGTTATCCTGAAAACAGCTAAATATCTTCCAATGCCTATTTTCAGTGTTTCTGCTTGAGATGGTGATTTCATGAATGATATTTGGCTTTTCCCATTTCCTCTGTAGCCCATAGCTCACTGTGGTGGGTTTGTTGGATTTACTATAAAGGTTCTGTTCGCACCCTGTGGGTTGGGTTAAGAATTAGGATTTATGCATTTACTTCTACTGTTGCTTTGTTTATACAGCTTTGGTTTAGTTTTGATCCCTTTTTTTTTGCCTTTGAGGCTCTTCCACAGTGTCAGCTGCTGACTGATAGTAGGAGAACGGCCTCGTGGTGTGAATGAAAGGGACCTAGCGGTTGGTAAACAGAGATAAGGAATAAATAGAGCACAGGCAAAAGGAGATAGTTCTGTGGGAGCCCAGATTGCCGCCAGTCTGTTCAAGTGAGATGCAGTGCCTGTCCTTTTCCCAGATTAAATTAGTGTGCGAAATCTCCAGTGACCTCCTCCCCTTCTCCCCATACTCTTTAGCCAAGCTGAACAGCCTCTGCTGTAAAGTATTCATTTTATCCAGGGACAAGTTGGACAATAGAACTCTCCCTGTTACTTATGGACAGCTGTCGTGATTCATGGGGCTTTTCAGCATTTCATTTTTCATAAGAGTTAAAAGGGTTTTACCTTGTAACTGACGAGAGGTTAGAAATGCAAAGATGCCAGCCCTGAGGTTGCCTGTAGTAAGGAAGTTAATAAATAAATATCACACACACACACAAACACATCCCCTCCCCAATGTGCGAAAGGCTGTGTTTTTTGTTAGTGCTGCTCTTCTTTTTTAAAGGGGTTTAATTGTGATAACATGATTACACTGAAGCATGAACTGCATGGAGAAATTAACAAGCAGAGACACAGCGATATGCCGGGCCCCCAAGGTTCCCTAAATTAAAGGTGACCAATGCAAACCCAGTGAGTGCCCTTTTCCCTTCATTGCCCTTGCTTTTGCATACAACTCCTATCAGTTTATTACCTGCAAATAACTCCCAGGAAAGAGTAAACACTCATGAGATACCTCTGTGGTCCCGTATTTTTTTTTTGTGATTTACTGCAAATATATTCAGCATTTTGACTGATTAAATAGACCTTCGGCAACCTTGAGGGTCACTGTGTAGAGTATGTACATAGAAAATGCATCAGCCCATTGTACCCTGGCAGCTAATGAGATTGGTCGTTAAGTAAATGACACAAAGCCTACAAAAAAAGCTTAGCAGCTCACTAGAGTATCACAGAGTGTCCCTGCACACCACACAACGACACAAACAGTGGACTAACCTAGCCCACCCCTGCTTTATTCTACATCACTGCTTCCCTGATGTCAGCGTGAGAGGCAGAACAAAGGCTAAAAGGCACACGGTAAGTCAGTCTGACAATTATGCCCTAGGGAGAAAGTAGAGCAAATCTTAGCCTAACCATGGGGTTGAAAGTCCGTTTCTAGACAAGTAGGTCATAACGAAGGGATTTTTTTCCCCCCCATCACTTCATGAAGGGGAGAAAAATATCTCTGGAATCAAGGTTGGATTTGTTTCTTGTTTGTTTGTTTCCTTTTCTTTCTGTCTGATTTGCCAGCTTACAAAAGTTTCTGGAATTCTGAAAGTAATGTGAAACAGTATGTATTTTGAACTGGATATTTCAATTATAGTCTAATGAATTAAATGTTCCTTGTAGGAACTGCCACACAGTAATCATTCCCTGAGATGTACATTACATCTGATGAACTTTACAGACAGAAAGTTTCTTTTTACTTCCCTGTAAAAATCTGCTGAAAATGTGTTATATATATATGAATGCAAATTTCAATCCACTAGATAGCTACTTACATCCCTAAATCCCTGGTACAGTTTTTACATGTATGCAGATATAAATAAAGTTGATACTATAATTTTGGGATTATTAGAAAAGGTTTTTACATGATGTCTTTCTCTGTGTTGTCTTTTACATGAGCTGAAATTAAAGAGCTGAAGATTACTGTTTAACAGTTGCACAGTCATTACTTATTTTCTTCGCACAGCAGCAAAATATTCAGCTGATACCTTATAATAGCAGGTTCCTGACTGTGTAATCAATGATAAAATCTTTTCTACTCGTGTTTCAGTGTACTACCTCAGGACCCTTTATTTTGCTGAAAAATGGCAACAGGAAGTTGCCGGAAAGTCTTGTTTGCATTACTGAAATGTTTCTGTCTGCTTTGCACTTTGGAGACTCAGGGGATGTTAGCTTCAAAACAACATGATCTTATTGCAAGATGCCTGTGTGCATTAAGTAATGCTTCTTCTCCTCTCCCTGCAAAACCACTGAAAACCATATGTTTTAAGAATTCTTTATGAATACGGACAATTTAAAAAGTGGTGTTTACACATCAGTCTGCATTACAATTAATCTTTTTTTGGGTTTTCGGGGTTTAGTTCTGTTTTTATTTGTTTTGTTTTGGTTTGGTTTGTTTTGGTTTGGTTTTTTTATTGGTTTTGCTTTGCTTTGGGAGACTTATTTAATTTAGAAAAAAAAGTTTGTCCATATACATGTATTTAGACATACCAGGATAACATGTTTACTTAATTAAAACTCTTCACAGGTCACAGAAGTCAGTTTGTTATGATATGTTGCTTACCCAGGAACATCTTTTTTACTGCATGGGCAATAGAATTATCACCACAGCTTACAGACACTAAGATAAAATATGACATTCTAACACATACATTTAAGCATTCCTTGCAAAGGGGTATGAGATATGCATATATGCAAACACATGTGCTCATATTTATAAAAAAAGTTCACATATGCAAAAAACTATATTCACCTACAGAATAAACTAGTTACCTGACACTCAGTATATATTAGGTATATCTTCAGTTATATCTTTTTTGTGTTTTCCAGTAATTCCAGTTTAGAAAATATAATGAGAAAGTAACCAAACTGAAGTAAATTTTGTGTATTTTATTTGATTTTCCTTCTTTTAAAAAGTTGTGTACATCTCAGCAATGTTTTCCCTGTGTTACCTCAGCAAATATGAAATATTCAGGCATCAGAAAACAAGCTAAGTCCTATAATTCAAAACTAGATCAACAGAGATTTAGCAAGCTTCAGTCTTGCAACAATTTTGCTTTAAAATATGCTAACTGATATTAAGTTTTCAGTGTATTTTAAGAGAAAATATTCCAAGATATTTGACGTTTGAGTGCATCCCCACAGCTTTTAAAAATTAGCATATCCTTGTGACACAGTCATGTATCCTTTTTACGTACCTACACCAACAAGAGTAAAGGGTATTTGATATTTCAGCTTTCACCTCATTAATAAGTTCAGCTATTTATACTGTTAAAAGCAAAGGATGGTTTCATAGGGGTAATGCACATGCAGCAGCATTACAGAAATCATACTGATGTAATCAGACAATTGCATTCTGTAATCTGACAGGTTGAGCCTCAGTAAGTTTCACTAGTTTTTCACAGCTTCATTTTTTTAACTCATCTTTGTCATTTCTTTACATCTAAGAGAAAAGACAAAGAAAACTTGATTTCTGATTATTAATGTCATTCATCTGATCTCCTTGATAAACTATAAAACACTCCAGATTTTTAGAAACCACTTTTCATTTGACTTTTTGAACTTTACAGTCCAGTATGAGGCCTCCAACTTTATCTTAGCGCACAGTTCCAGGGCACAAGAGTATGAGCTGTGCATGTGGAACTGAAAAACTTTATGGTACTATGTAGTTGATTTGAATAATTCTAATTCAGGTTTTTTGCATGTTTATAGTTTTTAAAGCCAGTAATCCCAAAATATATGATATTATTGACAAGTAAGTATCTCCATAGTCACTGACAATACTCATAAAGGCCTGATGCTGTTGCTCCAAAATTCCAAAATAAATTTGGAATTTTATTCCAAATTTTACACTATTCCAAAATAAAAAACAGAAAATAGCATGTAAAAAAAACTTTATATTCTACTATATCCACAAATATATAGAGAATCTAGACCAAAGTCTTTTACTGAACTGATTGATTTTGGAAGCGTACATAAATACCCGGGATCGGGTCACTTTATAGTTATTGTGCGCATAATTGTGGATTATTTAAAACTACATAAGCAAAGTCAATGTTTCTGGATTTTAATTATCTTCAAGTATTTAAGGTTACAGATACTGTTAAATTAATAATAAAAAAACTTTTCTTCCTTCTAATGTTTTTTAGTATTTACATAAAATTTCTCTGGAGTGGAGAAGAATTGCTCTATTTTATGTATATGGAAAACATTTAATGATACTAGCCACTCTTGCCTTTCTAAATAACACATTTCCAATTCAAGAAAAGGTGATAAACTAACAGCAAAAGTTATTTTAGAATGAAAAAGGATTTGCCTTCTTGGGTAGGTGAACACACAAAAACATTCATACACGTGAGTGATTCCACTGAGGTGAGGCTGATGGCTCACCTTAATACAGTAAAGCAGTGTGAAAGTGTTTTGAAGATGAGGGTTTTATTTATTTACTTAAGCGATTCAAATAACATTTGCTAGCACATATTTCATGTTTGGTTTCATATGTGAACTATTCCCTTCACTAAGCAACTTTGGTGAAAAAGAGCTAGATTTTCATTTAAAGGCATGTATTTGAACTCTGCTCTGTTGGGTATTAAATTAAAACACTGCTTTAGAACTTTTCCAAAACATTATTTCAAATGAGGAGCGGAGATCCCAATTTCTTCTGAAAAGTTGTCTTCTTTTTCCAGCAGTAGAGTCACTAGGTCAGTTCCCTAAATCTCAAGAGAAATTGTGACACTTTTGCTTCCCCTCCTGCCCCCAAGTTGAAGCACATGTGCAGCATCTGGATTGGCACAGCAAAGTAGAAATGGCTCCAAAGGCGCTGTTATGGACTATCAGGTCAATAATCCTTATGTTAAGAAGGATTTACATGGTACAGAGTAATGGCCCTGTCATATCTGAAGTAAAAATCCACTTTTTAATGAGCATAAAAATATTGTTTTGCACTCTTCTCATCAGAGAAACATGGGGAGGTAAAAAGACAATTATATATAATTTCCTGAAATAAAAGTTCTCATTTAAATGTTTGAATAGAATAAATGTTTAAATATTGTATGTAGACAGCTACAGTGTACCAAATATGGACTTTTTTGAAAATGTACTTATTGTTCTCATATTTTTTCTTCTTTACTCTATTAGAAGAATTAAAGAATGTGCATATCATGTCTTCAAATAGAATTTTTATGGGGCAATCCAGAAATAAATTTGGCTTAAGGTTTTTTTTGTTTTGTTTTGTTTAATTTTTTCTATGGTGTGATTTTCTCCTCCTTAAGGTTTGACACAATCTAACACACATGTTCTTGTTACAAAAGTAAGTTTGAAAGTAAGATCAGCGGTCATAGAAAACCACAGTAGTGATTTTTTATCCTATTAATATGTTTTCTTCTCTCTGAAAAAAATATTTTTTTAATTGAAAAGGAAAAAAAACCAAACAAACCACACACACCCATAAAACACCTTTCTTAAATATCCCACATTTGAAGAAAAAGTATTTTCTTCACTAACAATGTGGTTAACTCAGACTCTGTAAGAGGTATGGAAAGTCACCAAATCCTAAACAGAAACAACAAGCGCTGCAACAAAAATGGAGAGAATGAGTGTACATGACATTTTCATTGCTTCTCTAACATTTTATAAAATTAAAGACCATTTTGAAGTATGTGTCTGATGGGAATCATCCTATATATAAGCATTCAACATTTACTGAGCAGAGTGCAACTGAACACATAAATCACACTAAATAGCATTGACAGTTGGTCAAAAGAAACATATATTTATTGCTCAAGTGTATGTCCAAGCTAATCTATGGAGAACCTTGCCATTATTTTTGTGATAAACAGTACTGTCTACAAAAAGGGTTAAAGAAAATGCATTCTGTTGCATCTGCTTACTAAATCCCTTACTTTAGTAGAAATTCAAATTTTGTAAAGATTATTCGTTTTATTGATGCATATAATTATAATCACAAGCCATCTGCTGATTTGGCAGGCATGGTTAAAATTCTCTAACTCTCATAACCTTTCAAGTACAGTGCCCTTGGGACTCTATTTCACTTTTATATTTTGGAAAACATGTAGGGACAAACAAGAGAGGTCATCTGCCGAAAGTCAGACCTGTAAAACATTAAAAGAATAAAGATCATGTTGACTGCTCTTGTTTTAATAGGGGGAAAAAAAGTATTTTCTATTTTGTTTCTCACTTCAGGAAGGATTACACTGTTTTTCATCACACACTTTGGGAATTTGAATTTTTTTCTAAGGATTAAAGCTCTCCCCTAGCACCTCTGGGATCTGGGTTCCAAGTTTAAACTAAAA